TCTCTCTCTCTCTCTGTCTCTCTCTCTCTCTCACTCTCGCTCCCTCTCTGTCATATTTTATAATGTCTGAAAGTATGGGCCAAAGGCCTTTTAAATCAATAAAATCTCTCTCTCTCCCTCTTTCTCTCTCTCTCTCTCTCTCTCTCTCTCTCTCTCTCTTTCTTTCTTTCTTTCTCTCTCTCTCCCCTTTCTCTCTATCCATCTGTTTATTCCTGCTTTGTTTTCCATCGTTTCTTCTTTTTCTATCTTCACCAAGTTCGTTTATAACGGTACCTATGACACAAGAGTCTTCATCAAAGATTGTACATGACAAGATAGTTCACTCGGCCAAAAAAGTGTCCGCGGAAGTCCGCGCATTGGTTCAGATGTCGGTGCAGTCTTTGTTTTTAAGCTCTCTTTCGTTTCTCCAGAAGAAGAATAGGGATAGCACCCCCTTGCACATCAGCTGCTCTCGTTCGCTCAGTGCGGAGTTTTGGGTATATTTTATTTTAATGACATCTCGCCCCTCGCTCTGTAGCCAAATTAAACGAAAAAAACAGTCGCCCTTCCACCTGAAGAGGAATTTTGTCAGCGTAACCATTTAAAAAGGCGTTCTTCCGAAATTTTAATTATGACTTATACAAAAACTTGTTAGTTTCACTTTTTTTTTCCACACAAGAAGGGTAACCCTGTTCGCAAAGCGGGCGCTTTTTCGAAGATGGCGCCACTAGGATTTTGAGGACACTCTTTTTAATTGGTTCAAAGAGAGGAGTGAACCATCTTGTTATACAGAATCTTTGTCTTCATCAATAACTCCACTAGAATCCGCAGCAATTGAAAAGTTCACCGAGTGTGCACTCATGTACCCTCCGGGAATTACCGTAATTGTATAGATCTTGTGGCGATTGGGAAGCTTGATGAGAAGAGTCTTCTATCATAGGGTTCGTTTGTACTTTACTCAAATATTCTTCGATAACGAGCAAAAAAATAATTTCACTGAGATAATTATCCTGTTTAGTTTACGATCTTCTTCAATAGTTTATCTTTATTGTCGAGGAAGTCCGCTTTGTGTCGCATGTACTTTCTCGGATTATAATACAAAACCCATTTCTTTTACTACTGGCATTACTTCGACTAATATTTCGGATTTATTTATCTCAGAAAGAAATTTGGTGTAAATTCATACAAAATGGGACTCGACATCTCAAGGACGCAGGATGTAAATTAATACTACATTGGCTAAAGTACCGCAAAGAAAATGCACTGCAAGGCGATACCAAACGTCATTAAATCTGTTGCACAAATAGAACCAATAAGATGAGATCGCTGAAATTGCGTAAATTCAAGAGACTTTCGCGTGTGTAGGCGCTATAAGCTATGAGTAGATTTTCTAAGCATCAGGTACCTTTTAATGATCAATGTGCTTCTCTTTACTTTAAAAAGTACTAAAGAGGACAAACTTTTAAGTATTTCTAACACTTTATTGGGGGTCTTTTTTTTTCTTCAGAAAAAAGCCCAAAATGGCTCAAAGCTTTGGTCTTATTCGTTGGTTTTACATAATAAAATGATACTTCAGTTTTGTCAATACGTGTGCAGTGTTGTCCAAAAATACTCCCCATTTTTCCCTAACTTACTTGTTAAATAAATATATTTCCCATAGCGCTTCGTGTGTGAAAAAAAGAATACGAATTTCTTTCTCAAAGGCTATTCGGAAACCAAAACATTTCACGGATTAATAACGCTCTAACCAAAACGATGCCTCTTCACGAAACGTGACGCCAAAACCAAGAGAAGGAGAAGGAGAAGAAGAAGTAAGAGGAGGAGAAGAAGGAGGAGAGAGAGTGTGTGTTGGATAAAATATCACCCCATTCTCGAAGGGATTGGAACATGGTGCTGTGCTTATTAAGCTGTAACACTTTCCCCTAGCTAACTGCTCCCTGTGTAGCTGTGTGTAAGTCAAGTGTGTTCGAACATGCTGTGCTTATTAAGCTGTAACACTTTCCTCTAGCTAACTGCTCCCTGTGTAGCTGTGTGTAAGTGTGTTCGAACATGCTGTGCTCAACACAAAGTGTAGATCTAGCTATACTCTCCTCTAGCTAGCTAGCTGCACGCTGTGTGTACGTACGTGCGTGTGTGAGTGTGTGTAAAGTGTCCGGACAAGAAACCAGCACCAAGATGTTGAAGACGTCCAACAGCCCCGTGGCTGGCGTGAAGGTGTTCAAGATCCTCAAGTCCTATTGTCAAAAGAATGTTTCTCCACCTTGCAGGGTCCAAGAATCTGACGGCAGCTTCTTTGAGAGCTACACGGCGCTCGCGTGGAGGCAGGAGAACAAGAGGCTTAGGGCTGCCAGTGAGGTGAGTAACTAGTTTTGTTTGTTTTGGTTTGGTTTGGTTGTTTTGTTTTTGTTATTGTATTGTTGGTGATGGTGGTGGTTGTATTTTTGTTGTTGTTGTTGTTGTTGTTGTTGTTGTTGTTGTTGTTGTTGTTGTTGTT